TGGTCTACTTTTAATCAAGTGGTATAGGAGCTGGGTTTGGCTCTGCCAAGTGGATGGAGCAGGGGATATGGTTGAGGTTGGGCTGTATTAACACCTGTATTTCCCACCTGTCTAGTGGGAAAGAGGAAACCCACACACACATACATGTACACACAAGAAATAAAACAGAATAAACAAACAAGCAATCTACAATTTAAAGGGAAAATAATAAAGAAGAAAAAAAATAATAAAAAAACAAGCAACAAACAGGAAAAAAGAATGTAATAAGTAAAAAGAGAGAGGAGGCAGGAAAATGGAGCTGTAAAAGAGTGAAATAAGAGAGAAAATAAAAGGAAGAAATTATTTTTTAAGAAAACCATGAAGAAGGAAAATGAAAAGAGAAAGAGAATAGACAGTAATAAAGAAAGGGTAAAAGGAAAAAAAGAAGAGGGGATTGAGAAAGAAGAAAAGAAGAAAAAACAAAGGCAGATATAGAAAGTATAAAATTAACGGTCATGGAAAGAAAAGGAGAAGGAGAAGAAAAAATTACCAAACAAAAACAATGAAATGAAAAAAACAAAACCCCAAACAAAAAACTAATGCAGGGACTTCTGGTTTGGGGGTAGGTAAGCAGAGACAGATAGTGAAAGCTCCTCTGCTAAAGCCCAGAGAAAGAGCAAGCCACAAAACAGCTGTGGAGTTTGGGATCTTGTTAAGGGTTCCAGGCCCGGTTCCCTGTGCCCACCTGTGGAGAAATCTGCCTGTGGAAGCAAAATACGGCAATTTCTGAATTGATCTGGCGGCCATGGCAGCCAGCGGCCAAAGGTCCTGAGGTCAGAAGGCAGGGCCACAGCCAAGCAGAGGCAGTGACCCAGCACTAGAAACCATGGAGATGCACATCTGATGGGAGAGGTGTGACCGATTTTTCATCTTTCACTTTTCATTTTTCACATATCTTTCCTCTTTACTCCGATCATGCCCTCACTGCCCAACCCGGATGCCTTCAGGCAGGCAGGAGCACACCCCCAAAAGGGTCCAGCATAGCAACCACATTTTCCCATGAAACTGAGAGGAAACCTACAGGCTACTTCTTATGAAGTCTGACTCTGGGACCCAGCCCCAAAGTTGACCTAGGTGGGACCCTTTATCCCTGCCTGCACAGCAAAGGCCACTAGACAATGTCAATCCCAATTTTATTTTTGTTTTTGATTGGTGGTTTCTGTCTCTGCTTTTTTTTTTTTTT